CGAAAAGAATGTTTAGTGAGAATGTAGCACTCGAATAAACCTCCTTTCGAAACTTATTTCTGAATCAAGCTTTGTATTCGGCTAAAGCAACCCGACAAAGTTTTTCGAAAATGCAAAGCCTTCAATACCCAAAAGAACATATTTTTAATAATTGCATTTTCACCCCATTCCAATGTTTCAAAAAATTACAAAGAGATCCTTTGCTTCCGCTAGTTTAATGAATATTCCGATAAACCGGTTCGATTTATCGCCCGTCTAGAAGGGGGGTGCTACATGTTTACATTTGTTGAACGGTCAACATAGTAATATTACTCTATCACACAATAATAATGAGTTTTGTTGTGTTAATATTACTGTGCTAGAGATTAATATAGCAATATTACTGTGTTAAACTGTAGTTTAGTTAATTTTACTGTGTTTAACAGTAATATAGTTAATATTACTGTCAATCACAGCAATATTGTTGTTTAAACGAAAAAAAAAGTTATAGAAAAAAAGAAAAAAAAAATCGAAAAAGTCAACGCCGGAGACCGGCGAAAAAATCCGAAAGAAAAAAAAAAAAAAAAATTCAACGCCGGAATCCGGCGGGAAAAAAAAAGTTTTTGAAATTTTTTTTTTTCAAAAAAAAAACGTTTTGGGTCAAAATTGAATAATTTGTGAAATTTGGGGTCAAATTGAGGTTAAATTAATTTAAGGACGAAATTTGAGCATATTAAAGTATGGGGGGTTATTTTAGTCCTTTACAAAAATCTGAACTATGTGTGGACTTATTGGTTAAAGGAGTTTTTTGCGTAGATCTCTTTATGAATAAGTACCCATTGATGGGCTTATTTGTAATGACCCCATATATATATATATATATATATATATATATATATATATATATATATATATATATATATATATATATATATATATATATTGTAATTAATAGAGATAGTTAGTTAGTTAGTTATATTGTATAATAAATGTTGTGTAGCCCCTTTCCCGACAAGGTGGCATATATGATTAACCCATCTTCCTCCTCGTAGAATGTTCTGCTTATTGAGCAGATCTTCTGGCCTGTGGACTGGGATCGAATCACCTCGGTGGCACTAGGTGGAGCTTCGGTTGAGGATAGAGACATTTGGTACTATACACCACACGGCCGATTCACGGTGAGTTCGTGCTATCGTCTTATTCTTCAACGCCTGAATAGGAACATGGGGACGGTGGCCTCGGGCGGGCAATCATCGGGTTAAGACGCCCATGGATTTATCAGGAAGATATGGAAATTTGATATTCCTCCAAAAATTCGTATTTTCATCTGGCGAGCGTCCAACAACATCCTTCCAACGGCCTTGGAACTTTTTCGAAGAAAAGTTAGCTCTTCTCCGTTTTGTCATAACTGTGGCACAACCGAGTCTTTGATGCACATTTTTACATAGTGTCGAGGCATGCAACAACTCTGGTCAGCACTACCTTTTCAAGGTTCTTATCTACAGGTAGAAGTTCCCTTTGAGATGTGGCTTGAACACCTATTGGTCACTCTCCTAAGCAATTCATTTCAATTGGCCTTGGTGGTTATGTGGAAAGCATGGGATATTAGAAATCAAGAGCTCCATGGTGAAAACGAAATGAGAGTGGCAAATTTACTTGATTGGTGCTCGGCGTATCTTGATCTGTTTCACCGAGCTAATGATGGGCATATAATTAGGCGTCAGCTGGATCACCCTTCCACTTGGCTTCCCCCCAAGGCACTCTTAAAGTGAACGTAGACGCATCTTTCCCAAAAGACAAGAACTATTTCCGTACATCAATGGTGGCACGAGACTCGCGGGGTCAATGTATTTATTAGAAAGTTGAACAACATTTGGGTCAACCGAACCCGGCGCATGGTGAGGCTAAGGCAGTACTCCAGGCAATCAGGAAAGCGGCAGACAAGGCGTGGCACTCACTTATTATCGAAGGGGACAACATACAGGTGATGACAACCCTTAAAAATGGAGGAACAAACTCCTTCTCTTTTGGAGCCGTTATTGAAGAATGTTTGAATTTGGCGTGTAATTTTCATTTCATATCCTTTAGTTTTATTCAAAGAATTGGTAATAGTTTGGCTAACAATTTAGCTAATCTGGATGACACTTCTTGCATGGAAGGCTTTATTTTTCCCCCACATTTGGCTAATTAAGCCTAATAATATTTCCTCTTCAAAAATAAATAAATAAATGATGTGTAGAAGATAAGCTGAAACCCAATTTCATTTAACAAAATAAAACAAATTCTGGAAAAAAGAGGTTATCAAATCAAAAGCTCAATAGTGTAATCATCAGAAATAATAACATTATCATCAATAACCAAATTGCTAATTAGTTAACATTTAATCTATAGTCTATCGAGAAGACAACATTTTTTCTCATTAGTAAATCCTTTTATAGAATCGTTAATAGTCACAAGCTTCATGAAAGAATCCCATCCCCATTTATTGGACGTGGAATCTGAAAATCATTGATTACCTGCAAATAATCATTGAGAATTAGATTGATAAAAAACAATAATATATATATATATATATATATATATATATATATATATATATATATATATATATATACTAATTAAATTTAAATTAGTATATACATGTCTTGGATAAAATTATACTAATTAATTAAATTTCTAATAAGTTCGACCACAATGTTCGTTGGATAAAATGAGATTATATATATATATATATATATATATATATATATATATATATATTTGCTCTTCATATTATTGATCTTAAGAAATTCAAAAACTAACGGACGAACGGTAAATTGACGGAAATAATCAAAAGTGTTGAATTATTGAAACATGATGGATCAAATGTTTAAGTATTTGTACGATATCGAATCTACATAAATATTAGTATATATAGTATATATATAATCCAGGAAATTGAGCGTCACTCTACAAACTTAATAAAAGAAAAAAAAAGATTATCTGACATTATACTAAACTTTTGTCCCTCAACTAATTATGTGTCCTCAGGCATATCTCTCTTTAAGTCCAGGACTTGCCAAACTGGTCATTACTAACTTAGCGAACTTCCTACTCCTATGTACGCCCAATATCTTTTTAATTGTATTTAATGGTGAAGATTATAAAATATTAAAATTATTCTATATTACTTATAAAGAAAGGAGAAATTAGGTGGAGGTCCCTAAAAAATATTCTCTATAGCTATAAAGATACGTACGTGTATTTTGTCATTTTGCTAAAAGTTCTTGTGCGCTTCCCCTTTAACGGAATTGCTTAGGAAAACTAACAGTAACAGCGATATGATGCGGTGATTTGCATAATTTAGTTAAATAAGCTGAAGAAAAATAAATTAAATCTCTGGTGCGGATATCACCACCAACATCACCATCACCAAACAATTCTTAGGTGATTTTTGCAAAAACTTTTAAAAATAGATTATTAGTTTTTTTCCCACATAATCTGTTTTTAGGTGTTTGCAAAACCGACTTTTGTTTTTGCTTCTCTTAAAATAAGTTGCTTTAAGTTATAATTTTAAAAGCACCCATGCACCTGCTTTTTCTATTTAAATTGATTTTTCAGATTTTTTGCAAACACCCCCAACTTTTAGAATTAAACACTTATCAACTTAACTCACAATCAGTAACTTATGCTTTTAAATAAGCTTTTGCAAACACCACCTTGATGTTTTTTTTGATTTGGTTTCCATTATTATTAGGTTACCCATATGTAGGTGTGTGATTATCTGTGTGCGCTTGTGTGGTAGAACTTTTCAATGATGGCAACAGTGGGGAATAGGGATGGAGGAGATTTAACCGAATGCAATGGGGTTGGACGAAATCTAACTGATGATGGGGAGTCTGAAAACACAGAACTTTTAGCAAATTTGCAGAACTTGATATGTTCAAATTTGAAAGACAATTAGAGCTCAAACGTATTTGCTCTTCATATTATTGATCTTAAAGAAATCCAAACTTAACCGAGTTATGCATTTGTTGGCCATAATTTAACGATTTTTTTTCAGTGGGCTAGTTATTTATACTCGTTTAGACCTTTTTGGGAGAATGTATGAACAATTGAATTTGAAAAAGGTTGGCACCAAATTAATGTATAGTTGAGGGCCACTCTACAAACTTAGTACGTATGCTCATATTATTTCATTTGTACTATATTATCAATATCATGTGTCCTCTATCTCTCTTTAGGGTCATGACATGCCAAACTTTGAACTTATAACTTGGGGAATTCCGTAATCCTACATACGCCAAACAATTTTTAAATTAAATCTCTCTTTTTTTTTTAAACTAAGTTATGTATGTAAGTTGTGTATATACTGTGGGAAACATTCATTCTTGTTTTGGTTTTTTTTTCACTGTATTTTAACTAAGCTGTTATTTATTACTACAACTAAGTTGTGCAAATCACCGCGTCGCCGTTACGGTTAGTTTTCCTAAGCGATTCCGTTAGATGGGGGGAGCGCGCAGAGACTTTTAGCAAAATGAAAAAAATGTTCGTGTCCTTGTAGCTATAGAGAATATTTTTGTAGGGACCTCCAGCTAATTTCCCCTTCAAAGTTTTGTTTCACCTTTATTTGATAAGAAATCGAGTCGAGGTCGAATGAACTCTAATCGAACCTATATGATTCAAGCTCGAGTAGCCAAATTTTTTTATTAATTTATTACGATTTGTTTCCCTAAACGAGCTCTAGTCGATCTTCAAAGGTTATCGATTCAGGTTGGTTCGTTTTATATTCATAGATCAAAAACTCAAACGAGGTTTCAACGAATTTTTTTGAATTGTATATATCGAGTAACTTGATTGTATTGTATGGCGGCCTAACTACAAATTTCGTGCTATATTATTATTCATTAATTGAACCTACTACGTACCATCACATGCAAGTACGATGGCATTAATTTCTTCCACCCTCCTCTATTTTCCCATGCATGCAAATACATGTCTATAAATAGAGATCATAATAACATGTAAACCTTCTTCATTCACAATATATTTCTTGATACTACAACTCACTCATGACACTTCAATTTGTTCATCACTTTTTATTCTCCATCTTTCTTTTTACCCTAATATTACTTTCTCCCATACTTGGCCATGCCAAGAGGGAGATGATGCCAATCGGTGACCAAAAAACACCACGTTTCGCTTTCGATTTCATCAACCAATTAGAAGGTTCTAAGAAAGGAAACAAAATCGAAGGCATCCATAAGATCAAAAACTACCTCTATCAATTTGGTTATCTCGATAACCAAAACCTAAACCTATAAACCACGTCGCCGAGCCCCACGACGACGAATTCAACGATGCCCTAGAATCCGCCATCAAAACCTACCAAAGAAATTACCATATTGCCCCCACGGGTATACTAGATGCTACGACAGTATCCAAAATGACCACCCCTCGATGCGGCTATGCCGATATCGTTAATGGTATCAACACCATGCAACTTAATAAGGGTAAAAAGTACTTGAACTCAAACAACGATATTCATACAGTGTCTCACTACCGCTTCACCGTCCCAAGAAACCGTAGATGGCCGCGGTCCAAAGCTAATCTCACTTACCGGTTTCTTCCCAACACTCCCGAGATCGCGGTGGGCCCCGTTTCGCGGGCCTTCCAAAAGTGGCATTCCATCAGCGGTTTCAGTTTCTCGCGGGTCCAAGACAGTAGCTCCACCGATCTAGTGATCGGATTTTTCAAGAGGTCCCATGGGGACGGAGCCCCGTTCGACGGGCCCGGCGGAGTCACAGCCCATGCGTTCCGTCCTACCGATGGGAGATTACATTACGATGCAGATGAGAAATGGTCCGACGGGCCCGCACCAGATGCTATGGACTTGGAATCAATAGCGGTGCATGAAATCGGGCACCTTCTCGGGCTCGGGCATTCCGATGTTAAGGCTGCGATCATGTACTCCTATCTTAACTATGGAATGAACAAAACTAAATTCGATGCAGATGATATCAATGGAATCAAAGCTTTATATCGAAACTGGGGGAATTAATTAATTAAATGACTTCTTTATCTCTATCTCTATATATATCCATATGTATAGATATAAATACATATGTTGGGCGCTAAATACCTAACACGCAAGTGCACGTATCGCAAATAAGTAGTAAAAGTGGACTCGTGAGAGTCGGATGTCGATCCCACAGGGAATACTCAAATTATCTAATCCTAAGTACCAAATTCTAACAACTATGATTTGTTATCCAGCATACGCAAGTTTGTCGAATTAAATCAATTAAACAATTAAACTAATTAAGAAAGCAAAGAATCACGAGAAAATATCAATATAAAATGGATCTAGGATTTTATCTTCCCCTTATTCAAGAAAAGCTCACCCAAAACCCCTGAATTATGAAATATATGATTCATGATTATTAACCCGAGACACTAATTTACTCATAACCCGCTGTCTCGTGTATTAGGAGTCTATTAATCATAAACGGTTCACTATATGTCTATGCAAACCAATTATGAATAAAGCATTAACTAACAAGTCACGTAAATGGCTACCTAATGTGATATTTGTATGTCTACGACACCACATGCAATTGACACACTCATCCGGTGAAAACTACTCGAAGGGTCTTCTACTTACCGTCTAATTATTAAAATAACTCTGTCGAGTCAATCCCAATAATCACAGATAAAGCACATAAATTGATCAAGTTCATGCACTAACAATCATAACAAGTATAAGAAATAATCATAAAATCATAATTGCATAATCTCAAGAAAACGGGTTCACCATCCCCACATACGGTTCCAACAAAATCCTAGATTAAAAACTTAGCTACTCATGTTCTCTACGAAAAACATAATAAAAATATAAAAAGACATAGATTAAGAAAAGATAGATAAAAGAAGAATTGTGATGAAGATTTGTCAATTCTCCGTCTTCAATTCTTCGTTCTCTCGCTTCTCTCGCTCCAAGGTTATGTCAAAAGTCCTTTGATTCGTGCTTGGTTTGCCCTTAAATAGATGTCCCAACTTGGTAGAAAAATTTAGGTTTCCTTGTGTGATTAAAAGTCCAAAATTGTTTCAGCGTGTTTTGGCACGGCCGAGCGAGAATCAGTGCAATTTTCACACGGCCGTGCGAGAATCGCCGAAACCTTCTGCCCAACTTCTGCAGTTGGCACGGCCGTGCCAAAAATAGGCTAAATTTGGCACGGCTGCGCGGGCGAATTTTCAGCCAATTTTCAGCATATTTTGTTTTCTTCCGTTTTTGCCCGTTTTTGACCTTTTTTGGCTCGTTTCGTCCTTGGAACTTCCAAATCGTCAAGTTGTACCTAAAATACAATAAACCACTCATTAAGCATCATTAAATCAATAATAGTATACAAAAAATCATCGTAAGAAAGTATACATTAAGTGTAAAATATACACTCATCACACCCCCAAACTTGAACTTTTGCTTGTCCTCAAGCAAAAACTAGCAACTATCAAAGCAACACTTTCAACAAATGCCTCTCATCACATAGATTAATGGTCAACTTCAAGTTTTCAGAACTTTCAATTATATGACAGTTCTTAAAAATTTACAAGCTCGTAATTCAAAGATACGTATTCACTCACCCTTGCCAAAAACCACAAACCATGCTATCGCTTCAAGTATCCCATATTTGCAAATTAAAAATGGAGAAAATTTATACTTACATAATAATATTCAACTCCAAAGACTCACCAAATTTCTTTACTCGCCTAGTATCAAATGATTGAGCTATTGGGATCATTGGGACTTTTTGGTTTTCAAATATTGGGCTTTTGGTACAAGGTAGAAAATATGGATAAAAGTGGCTACTCTTCTCCTTTCATCTCACAATTAGTCACTAAGAGTTGCACTTGACGGAATTTTTAACTCTCATTCTTGACTAGAGGTGTTTTCGCTAAGATTTAGCTTTTGGAATTATTGCTTCACCTCGAAGGACTTATAACCTAACTCGATTTTGTTAAGAGTTCAAAAGTCTCCACTTTTGCTCTTAACATGATGGTTCGAGTTTTAACTTTAAAATCTTTCTCAAGTCCTTTCTTCCCCTTCTATCTTTCTTCTTCGTCTTCTGCTTTTTTTTTTTTTTTTTTTTTTTTTTTTTTTTTTTTTCTCTTTTTTTTTTCCATTTTTTTTATGAAGAAGAAAAACGTAACAATTTTTTTCAACCAAGCTCCAAGGGAAAAATTATCAAGAAACCACCATCTAATTTACCCACTTTATTTCGGCTAAAAGAAAGAACAACGTTTCTCCAAGGCTCAATCAAGGTTCGAATGATAAAAATTTAAAGGTAGGCTTGAAAGGCTCAAACGGTTCAAAGATGACCCAAATCACTTCCCAAATTGCTCAACAATTTAATATTTCACTTTGTAAATTCCTAAGGCAAGTTCTAAAACCGAATAGCATATGATATAGCATCAATTAACTCAAATTTTAAAACACAAAACTTTCAACCAAAGCGAAGCACAATTAGAGATTCCTAACAATGACTCCTTCCTACGACACCTTGAATCAAAGCTCACAGAAAATTCGATCACAATCAAGATAAAGCAAGCAATTTCATCATTAACCATCGACCATCTTTCATCATGATGATTCATCGAAGCATTTATCTCAAACATTTTTTATTTTTTTTCGAAAGAAATAACTCAAATAAAAAAACTAAGGCATGCAAACTAAAAAATTAAAGCACATAAAAGCAAGTAATTTTCCACCCCGAAACTTAAAATTTACATTGCCCTCAATGTAATTAGCACGAAGTTTAAGGATATAATACACCTGAATTAGTCGTCTTGGCCATGTCTGTGCTACTTAAATTTTCGCCTTTTATTGTGCTTCTGTCCATATGGCACGGCCATGTCAGTTTTGAACTGATTTTCGCACGGCCGTGAGAATTGCAAAATTGGGGCAGTAGCTTTTTCCGATTGCCACACGGCCGTATGGGATTTTGGCTTTGTTTTGGGACGGCCGTATGAGCTCCAGAGCTGCAATTTCTTGACCTGAAAATTAAAAATATGCTTAAATTGTTAGCTTGCATGCTTATAAAATAAATAAATAAAATAAAACAAGAAAAATAAATAAAAAACGAAAATCTCGGGTTGCCTCCCGAGAAGCGCTAAGTTTATAGTCTTCAGCCAGACTTTGTTCCTGCTCTTCAATTCCTTAGCTTTTGAACCCATCTCCTTACTTCCTTTTGGAGGAAGTCTTGAATAAATGGGTTGATCCGATTCTTCTTTCGACTGGTTCGCTTAGGAATGCCCTTGAATTTATTCTTTTTGATGTCATGAGGCTTGCCAACATCGTCTTTAAAAACCCAACTCTTTTGACTATCTCTCGGAAGAGTTGAAATTGAGTTCATCAAATAAACTTGCTCTTTCCGACTCCCGTTTCCGCCATCATCTCCTGCACTCAAAGATGCTTTCCCATGGTCCAACATCAAAACATCAAAATTTTCATGATTTGTAAAATCCATAAGATCAATAGCAAAACAATCATTATTATCACATGGGTTTTTATTAGCACTAAAAACATTAAATTTTATCGTTTGATCATGCACCGTCATTGTAAGATCACCACTAGCACAATCAATTAGAGTTTTCGACGTGGCTAAAAACGGTCTTCCTAAAATAAGAGGTATCTCCCTATCTTCATCTATATCAAGTATAACAAAATCAACAGGGAAGATAAATTTGTTCACTTTTACTAGGACATTCTCTAAAATACCTTTTGGGTAAACTAAAGACCTATCGGCTAATTGAAGAGTTATAGCTGTCGTTTCAATCTCACCTAACCCAAGATTTTTATAAGTTGAATAAGGCATAAGATTAATGCTAGCGCCTAAATCAATGAAAGATCTAAAATTTTTACCCCCTATAGTACAAAGAATAGTGAACTTACCTGGATCGCCGAGTTTTTGTGGAAGGGGCCGTATAAGAATTGCACTGCATTGTTCCGTGAGTTGGATCATCTCGTTCCCTTGCAATTTCTTCCTCTTTGTCACGAGATCCTTGAGGAATTTCACCCACTTTGGCATCTTTTGAAGGGCTTCGATAAAAGGGATATTTATGTGAATCTCCTTCAACTTGTCCAAAAACCCTTGGTATTCGGCATCGAGCTTCTTCTTTAGAAGCTTTTGAGGATATGGAATTGGAGGGGCTCGTGATTTCACTGTGGATGATAGTGGTTCTTCGTGACTTGCTTCTTTTTCCCCAATCACTCTCGGCTTCTCGATTACCGTGTTTTGCTTCTCTTTTCGTGGGGCTTCCTCCAATTGTCTCCCATTCCTTAAACTTACAGCGTTGCACTGCTCGATGTTGCTCTTCCGAGGATCTTCCGTATTCGACGGCAGTGCTCCCGATGGCCTCGCGTTTAGCTGGGTTGCAAGTTGACCCATCTGTGTTTCCAAATTGCGGATGGAAGCTTGAGTGGATGTCATAAATTGAGCCAAGATATTTACGAGATCTCCACATTGAGGTGGAGCTTGAGGCGGATTTTGGAATCCGGGAGCTGGCCTTTGTCCTTGCTGATTTCCTCCCCATCCAAAGTTGGGGTGATCTTTCCATCCCGGATTATAAGTGTTGGAGTACGAGTTCCTCTGTTGCCGGTTGGTGTCATTTACATAATTTACACTCCGTTTCTTCTACGCACTGGTCGGGACCTTGGACTGCATGGACTTGTTGAGTCTGCAAAGCCGCTACTTGCTTTGATAGCTTCTCTAACTGGGCAGTGATTGCGGTGACCCCGTCTAACTCCAAAATTCCTCCGGTCTTATTGGCTCCGCTATTTGACCAGTCCGATGCACGCATGTATTTGTTCCTTGCGATACGCTCCAAAAGTTCCTAAGCTTCGTCATAGGTCAAGCTCATGAACATACCGCCAGCTGCTGAATCGAGCACCGTTCTCGAATTATGTTGCAATCCATCATAAAATATTTGAAGTTGCCGCCACTCTTGAAGTCCGTGATTAGGGCATCTCCGAATTAATTGTTTGAACCGCTCCCACGTCTCGAATAATGCTTCACCGGCTTCTTGTATGAAGTTTTGTATTTCTCTCCGGATTCTCTCAGTTTTGGTTGGGGAGTTGTACGTATTCATGAAGAGTTGTGCTAGCTGGGGCCAAGACGAGATGGAGTGCGGTGCACGAGTTTGTAGCCATTCTCTTGCGGCTCCTTGTAGAGAGTGCTTGAAGAGAAGGAGTTGCAGTGCTTCAGGTGATACTCCGTTCATCTTATGCGAATCACACGTTTCGAGAAAGTTGACCAAGTGGAGATGCGGATCTTCATGAGCTAATCCGCTGAACAACCCGTTGTTTTGGAGCATAGTAAGGAGTCCCGCTCTAATTTCGAAATTGTTGGCTTCAATGGGGGGTTGTTGGATGCCTGATTGAAACCCATTGAGTGTTGGAACGGTGTATTCATGCAATGCTCGTTGACGAGGTGGTGGATTAATGAGCTGCTGTTGCTCTTGCTCGTTGACGATATTTCCTGCCGCATTCAGTAGGCGCCCTTGGTCATCTTCCCTACGATTATTCTCTTCCTCCATTGTTGCGGGAACGTTTCGAGCTAACCGTTGATTTCTCCTGGCATGCCTAAACGTTCGCTCAATTTCGGGATCAAAAGGTAGCAAGATCGTGTCGTGTCCTCTTTGCATAAAAAGTACCTAAAACAAAAAATAGCAAAAATAAAATAAGCAATTAAAATAATTAAATAAAATAAATAAAATGGCTGAAGTAAGAAAAATTGCTCAAATTTAATATTAGGATAAATAGACAATTTAGCCGTACTCCCCGGCAACGGCGCCAAAAACTTGTTGGGCGCTAAATACCTAACACACAAGTGCACGTATCGCAAACAAGTAGTAAAAGTGGACTCGTGAGAGTCGGATGTCGATCCCACAGGGAATACTCAAATTATCTAATCCTAAGTACAAAATTCTAACAACTATGATTTTTATCCTGCCTACGCAAGTTTGTCGAATTAAATCAATTAAACAATTAAACTAATTAAGAAAGCAAAGAATCACGAGAAAATATCAATATAAAACGGATCTAGGATTTTATCTTCCCCCTATTCAAGAAAAGCTCACCCAAAACCCCTCAATTATGAAATATATGATTCATGATTATTAACCCGAGACACTAATTTACTCATAACCCGCTGTCGCGTGTATTATGAGTCTATTAATCATAAACGGTTCACTATATGTCTATGCAAACCAGTTATGAATAAAGCATTAACTAACAAGTCTCATAAATGGCTACATAAGGTGATATCTGTATGTCTACGACACCACATGCAATTGACACACTCATCCGGTGAAAACTACTCGAAGTCTCTTCTACTTACCGTCTAATTATCAAAATAACTCTGTCGAGTCAATCCCAATAATCACAGATAAAGCACATAAATTGATCAAGTTCATGCACTAACAATCATAACAGGTATAAGAAATAATCATAAAATCATAATTTCATAATCTCAAGAAAACGGGTTCACCATCCCCACATAGGGTTCTAACAAAATCCTAGATTAAAAACTTAGCTACTCATGTTCCCTACGAAAAACATAATAAAAATATAAAAAGACATAGATTAAGAAAAGATAGATAAAAGAAGAATTGTGATGAAGATTTGTCAATTCTCCGTCTTCAATTCTTCGTTCTCTCGCTCCTCTTGCTCCAAGGTTATGTCAAAAGTCCTTTGATTCGTGCTAGGTTTGCCCTTAAATAGATGTCCCAACTTGGTAGAAAAATTTAGGTTTCCTTGTGTGATTAAAAGTCCAAAATTGTCTCCAGCGTGTTTTGGCACGGCCGCGCGAGAATCAGTGCAATTTTCACACGGCCGCGCGAGAATCGCCGAAACCTTCTGCCCAACTTCTGCAGTTGGCACGGCCGTACCAAAAATAGGCTAAATTTGGCACGGCCGCGCGGGCCAATTTTCAGCATATTTTGTTTTCTTCCGTTTTTGCCCGTTTTTGACCTTTTTTGGCTCGTTTCGTCCTTGGAACTTCCAAATCGTCAAGTTGTACCTAAAATACAATAAACCACTCATTAAGCATCATTAAATCAATAAAAGTATACAAAATATTCTCGTAAGAAAGTATACATTAAGTGTAAAATATACACTCAGCAACATACATGGCAATAAAACTTCCCTAGTATTAAGGGTTCTCTTTATGATAGAATTAAGAAAATAAACTTTATAATGTATTTGTATTAAGAAGTTCTCTTTATGAGATTTAAAAAAGTAAACTTTATATTGTTTTTTTCTCTTGACCGTATTAATCATGACTCAACTCGAATAAAAGCAGAGCAAATATCTTATAAGCCAATAGGAAGCTACTTATTTGCAAACTCGAAAATCTCTTATGTCGAAAAGGACATTAAGAGCAACTTCAACACCTCTTTTAAAATTCGCCACTTCTTTCTAAATTATACAAAGTGAACAGTGTTTTAGTACATCACTTTTTCTAACTCACTCAGCAGTAATTGTTTATATTTTAACACATCACTTTAAAACATCACTACTCATTCCAATATATTTTTTTATACATAAATATTAAATTTTATTATTAGATTCCATATATTTGATGATATAATAATATAAAAAATCTTATTTAAAAATAATAATAATTTATATTTTGATTAAATAATTATATCACGACTTGTGTGAATCTATGTGTCCATTTGTGTAAAGATGTTTTATTCAATCAATCTTAATTTATATATTATAAAATTGGGATAATCAATTTTGATTTAGAAACTATTAACTCTCAACTGATTGTATTCAGTTTTGTGAAAACTTATTGACAGAACTACTAAAACAATATTATTAATTATTAATTAATTAAAAGTTTGAAATATCAGTATATATATACACACGCGTGCGCACACATACATATATATATATATAATTCACCTTTTGGCTTGCCAAGTTTGACAAGCAAAACCTATATTTTCACAAGTGTTGTATATTATAAAATAGTTGTTGGAGCAAATTTTTTGGCCAAATTGTGTCAGAAATGGTAAATTATAACATATAGCCAATCTGTTGGAGATGCTCTAACCCTATCGAAAACTAAAATACCCCTGAAAGTATAACTTACTCCAATTATTTCACCATATCCATTCCACAATGCTTTTGTGGAAGAGGTTAAAGCTACTTACATCAATGATCTCAAACTACACAAGATTATTGCAGAATTGAAACAAGGAACTAGCACTAAACAATCTTACTCTTGGGCAAATGAACTACTAATGAGAAAAGGGAAATTGGTAGTAGGGCAATAAACTGAGTTGCGGCAGCAAATCATCAATCACTGTGGGAGGACATTGTGGGATTTACAACACATTGCACATAATTAAGCAGTCTTTTTATTGGAAGGGGTTAAAGAAGGATGTACATTCCTTTGTGCAATACTATGCTACTTGCCAAAGAAATAAAGGAGAAACTGTAGCTACACCTGGACTCCTACAGCCGCTGCCAATTTCTAATAAGATATGGGAGGATGTATCTATATATTAATTTCACTGGAGGATTGTTTCAGGAGGGAAAAATTATACTTTGGTAGTAATAGACAGGCTGAGCGAGGCTGCACATTTCATGAGACTCAAACATCCATACATAGGTAGTTCCATCACCGAAATATTCATGAATAATGTGTATAAACTGCATGGAATACCTAAAACCATAGTTAGTGATACGGATCATATATTTCTGAGTAGATTTTGGCAGGAATTCTTCAAGCTACAAGGGGCTGAACTCCATATTTCCACAGCTTATCACTCTCAAACTGATGGGCAGTATGAGGTGGTGAACAAATGCTTGGAAGGCTACTTGAGGTGTATGACTGGGAAGAGACCAAGAGAGTGGGCTCAGTGGCTTCCTTTGACTGAACACTGGTACAACAACACATTCCACGCATCCATCCAATCTACTCTGATATGATCCAACCATGCAATAAGTTAACGCCGAGCTAACCGAAGTGCAAACTCCCATTGTGCATTACGATATGGTGGTGGTATTGATGTTTGGCGCATTGAGGCTTCGAGCTACAAAACACCCACGTTCTTTTACGCTTCAATGGCTAATAGATGATATGTTCTGCGATGTGGTGCAGAGATGTGTAAGTTTGCTATCGAACAAATTAAAGAGATCGATTATGAGATCGATTTTATTTATACTCCTGATATTTGTCCGGATTCGAGAACGAATCCTTTTAAAGAGGGGGAGTATGATACGATCCTTGCAAGCTCAAAGTTGAAGAATTGGAAGAAGTCACTACAACAAAAATTGTTATCCATAGCGTTTGAAAAATGCTATTATAGGATTTCATAGCGTTTTTACAAACGCTATGTCTGCCGGAGCTATAATAGGTGTCAGTTCTTTCATAGCGTTTTTCAAACGCTATTATATCTTGTATTTCACATAGCGTTTTGTAAGGTGCTATCATATTTATTTTTTACAACAAATATAAAACGCTATCATATGGCTACAATAGTGTTTTCCAAGCCATCATTAATCTACTATAGCACTTTACGAACGCTATTGAATTGTTAAAGACAACATTAATTAAATGTTATCATCATTTATTGATAACATTTACACAATGCAATTGTAGTAGTTTTATACTATTTTAGTTTTTTCAATATTTCAATATTGTGCAATTAAAAAGAACAAATAAACTTCATAAAAGAAACAATTAAACACAACATTTCGTAATGATAAAAAATAAATAATCATCATTAAAAACTGAACCAATTATGAAACAATACAAGACCTATCTTCCATTATTCAGTATTCATACTATGTTGACTAAAAAAATAGATGTATACAATGTCTTAACAAAATGAAAAACAAAAAAAGGTTGCAATTCAAGGAAGAATTCATATCTACAGCAAGAATTGCATCTTCACATCCTTGACCTGTTACAGGATTGAATAAGAAAAAAACTTACTTGTTAATATAAAAGAAAAACTAAAATTACTGTCCCCCTATTAAAATACTTTATTGCCTATCTCTATATTCCATTTCAAGCACATATTTAACTCAAAACTGAGTATACTACTCTCTGTGTGGAGATGGGAAACATAAACGAGATTTGACAGTTCAATTGAATCAAACAGAATTGCACATATAGCTCTGGCCTATTGAATCCCTTCATGTATTTATTTAATGACTCTTAACAAATGATACTAGAAGCTGGAAATGAAAGAGAGAAAATAAAAGGAGTGAGAAGACAAAGGTTGTGTTAAGTTCTCATACAAAGACAAGACTCAAAAACAGGGAAATAATAAGTTTCGTGAACTCAAGAATAAAAGCTTGCAGTGCCTTCGGGTTTCACAGTTTCATTGCACTTTACAGTATTTAAGAACCAGCATGATATGTTGATATGAAGAACTAGAACTGCTTCTTCAAAATTTAAAGTAATGTACATTAGGTCATAGAAAATAAATCATCAAGTATATAACTCATTTAACAATACATAACTCATCATGTCTTATAAACCCGTTAACATAGATTCTGACTCGGACACCAACAATATCCATGTTAATCTAACCAATGTATCTATTGGAAAACTGAAAAATGGATATATAGTATAAAAAAGTTTTAAAAAATCATTAACAATACATCACATAAAATTCGGCAAAAGTACGCGAAATGAAAACCTCAATATAGGCGAGTACGTTATTAGCCATCACTTTAACCCCATCTACTTTCTATCTAATTCCTCAATGTCAAATTATAAAGCTTCTCCTGCAATCAGGAAAAAAAAAAAAGGATACAGAATAGTTATGTTCATATATTTGCAGAATAATACAGAGGAGGAAAAAACTAGACACTATTCCATGTCTTTCATATTTCAATGCAGTACTTTGAAGAACTCATTGTCTGTGAATCTTGTAGCATGGATATATTCAATGATTTACCCACTATAATATCTTGTAAAACTCCTTGTTCGTAATTTTCATGACATGCCCCATTTCTACCATAAAACAACAATATAATTATAAAATTACATACAAGATGAATAAATGGTAGGAGGAGAAAATGGAATTAAAAATATAATCGAAAAGTAAATTACAAAGTCTTAATTGAATTTACATAATCGTAATCTACAATAGGTTTGAACAATGTCTGTCATCGAATAAACAATGCTCATCGAATAAACAATGCTATGTGGGCGAATCGATCTAGCAAATAAATTAAGAGCTATTAGGGCTTTTGCAAATAAACTGAAATTAAGATAATTTGCAAAGGAGAAATAACCGAATAGATGGCGTCGGCAGGTCGACCTTGGAGTGCGAGACGGCGACAACAAAATGTTGGAAAAATCTGGTGGGAGAGAGTCGGCGATTGAGAGATAAATTGAAGGGTTTGTATTTGTAATACTTAAATAAATCAATTGGGGTTCTCCCCGTAGTTAAAATATTTCCTATTTGAAAGTCTAACCAAAATAAAATTTGGGCGGCCCACAATATTATAGCGTTCTTTTTTATTCTGATTGGTTATTACAGCACTTAGTACAAAAATGCTATAACAATATGCTATTAAAAGTCTATTTTCTTGTAGTGAGTGCAAGCGTACGAGTTTAAAGATGCTATCGAGTTTTCCTTGGAGAAGAAAGGCTTGAATCAAATATTTGAGATTTCTATGGTTTGGAATTGGAAGAAAGGGAAAATGGAAATTCGTTGGACAAGTCGAATTTCATGCATCCAAAAGTCTCGTACTATTCTGGCATAGTTTACCAATCGGCTTATATCTCTCTCCTCCAAAGTCCATTTAAGGTGATTGAAAATCATTCGGAAATCTAACTGAGATCTACAACTTTCATGTTTTGACCAAAGAGATATTCGAAGTGGAACAGTGTCGAAATCGAGCTAGAAGTTCTTGGACGTGCACAACCAATTGTTTACGAGAGATTAGAAGGGTGATCGGGAAGTCGACTTGAAGATCAAGTTATCTAATTTCTTTATGCACATTTTAATATTATAATTTAATATATTTGTATTATTCTAGAGTTTTTTATCGTTAGGATTTGCTTATTTATAAATTTATTTATTATAGATTCTATAGGAGTCATTTTCCTTGTGAAAAATGAGTCTTTTTAGATCTTATAAATATGTTGCCGATTTGGCTTATTTAAATGGACGAATTTTAATGAATTAATTGAGTTTTTGAGAGATCAATTATCTTTCGCCGTTCTACAACAACTTGGGGATATTACAAGTGGATTCTTGTAACTTTCTTAGCGACATAATATTGGTTTATGGTTCTTTATAACCACGGGTCAATATTCCACCTTGATAATAATGTTTTCTTGCTCTTTATAGCTATGGGGTCATTATTCCTTGCTTCCGCCAATCTGGATCCTTTGTTTTTTGATGTTTTCGATCTTGCTTCCGCGTAAGGTATTGGGTCTCGTAACAATTTCTACGGGGTTCGTATCAGTTGGTATCAGAGCGTCCAAAAACGTGTAGCTCGATTTCGATATTGTTTCACTTCGAATCTCTCTTTGGTCAAAACATGAAAGTGGTAGATCTTTCAGTTAGATTTCCGAATCATTTTGAATCATCTTGACTTTGGATGAGAGAGATATAAGTCGAATGGTAAACTCTGCCAGAATCGTACGGGACTTTCATGATGCATAAAATTCGACTTGTCCAACGAATTTACCTTTTCCTTTCCAAACCATGGACATCTTAAATATTTGATTCAAGCATTTCTTCTCCAATGAAAACTAGAATAGCCTATTTAAACTCGTACGCTTGCGCTTCTTCCAATTCTTCAACTTTGAGTTTGCTAGGATCGTATCATACTCCTTATGAAGTGGTGTATGGGCAGAAGCCACCCCTCCATTTGACTTACATTACCATGGCATCTCCAAATGAGATGGTGGATAGGAGTTTGCAGTATAGGGAAGCCACCATTAGGGTCCTCAAGGAGCAATTACTTAGGGCACAAAACACGATGAACGTGCAAGCAAATAAGAGAAGAAGTGAAAATGTGCTTCAGGTGGGAGATTGGGTGTTTGTTAAACTACAACCATATATACAACAGTCAGCTAGAACTCAGACATGCCAAAATTTATCTGCTAAATTTTTTGGACCTTATCACGTAATACAAAAGGTGGGAGAGGTTGCTTATACATTACAATTTCCACCGGTTTCCAAGATTCATCTAACATTTCATGTCTCTCAGCTTAAGAAGAAAATAAGATCTCAAATAAGCCAGAAACACTTACCCACTACAATCACTGCACACGGGCACATTTTACTTGAACCACAGTCTGCTATTGATCGCAGGTTGGTCCAGAATAATCACAGGGCAGTCACTCAATGGTTGAACAAATGGTTTCATTCTCCAGAAAAAGAATTGCTTTTTGTCCTTGAGGACAAGGAAAATTTCATAGGGAGGTTTGTTACAAGCTCAAAAGTTCTCGTCAAGAAATATCAAGTTAAAAGGAAGGAAGAGAAGAATGAAGAACCATGCACGTTCAATTTTTTGGTTAACACGAGATTTGCAGGATAAAATTACTGCTGCTAGTCTAAGGCACATTTCAGTATCACATTTTATATTAGAGTAACATTTTTATTAGTAGCGGGTCAAAGCTCGACACGTGGCGAAGAGGAAATAGTGAAGAATTGTTGTCCCAACTATTTCCTTGAAGAAGCATTCTAGCGTTTTATAATTCTTTTAGCACTTTCGATATATAGTTTAATATAAGACGCAAGCTTGGGAATGAAAAATGTTAGCTGATTTTTGTTCAAGTTGTCCTACCCAAATGGTTCCATTAATCCATTAATCTGAGGTGATGATCTCTTTTTATTTTATTTCGGTTCAGATTAGTATCAATAGAAGCATATTTTTTTCTCAAAACTTTTAGGACATGCTTGGCATGCAGGAATGAGTTGTGAATGGAATGAGCATTGCCAAGCACATTCCAAAACACAACCTTGGTATATCATTCCCATGGGAATCCGTATTCCCAATAATATGGGAATAGCCATTTCTTCTCCTCCCCATGACATTAGTCATTCCCAACCATAAAGAAATGAATATATATACTTATTTCAATAAAGTTTGGTATAATTAAAGATTTAACCCATAAAAAATTAGTTTAACATGAACCGACCCATCATTAATTATTTTAAATAAATAAATAAACTATATTATTAGTAAAACAAATTATATATTTTTTATATGTAATTTTTAATGTTATAAATCTAAAATAAAATAAAATATATTTCTTAATAATATAAAAAAATATTTATTTATTGATCTTAGAATAGTGTAATCATCAAGGAATGAACTTATAATTATTTTCTTGGTAATGTTATAATTATAAATTTAATAATATCAATAAAATTGAAGATGAAACCCAAGAAAAAACATATTTGGCTTCATACTCAACCAACCAATAATTATTTTATAAAAATAAAATAATTTTGTTGACAAGAAAATTATAGTTATATATTTATTTCAATATTAAGATATTTGAAATTTTGAATAACTTTATTCATAATGCATATTGTAATGTAATAGGAAATTGACCTTAAAATTATAATAGTTAATTTTTTTTTACCACATATTATAATAACTATTGGATAATATTATCATTTTATATTAGTTATTAAAATTATAATTTTTTTTTTAAATATCAAGTATGAAACTAAAATCAATCAAGAAAGTTTTATTTCACTCCCATTTTCATTACTTGTACGCACCAAATGACAGTATCTATTTGAGATATTTATATTAAATGATATACATTTCACTGACACATTAAGCTTCTGGGTGAGATGGTCATTTTCTTTTTATGATTCTGAACATGGACATTAAACTTGCGTAAATCTATATATATATATATAT